CACAGGATGATGAGAAGGTAGTGGAATAAGAGACCAAGTTTTATTTGAATAAGGGCATTATATTCATCAAGCATGGCTTGTTTCCATCATAGGTCTTGTAAGGCTAGATAAGGATCAGTAGGAGGATCAGTAAAAAAAGAAGAAGTATGATAAACTTTAGGTTTGAAAATACCTCTCTTAGAACGAGTAACCATAGGATAAGTATTTTTAGGTGGTGAAGAAGAAGAGGGAGGAGAAGCAGTAGAAGAAGAATAAGATAAGGGAACAAGAGAAGACATAGAAGTAGGATTAATACTAGGTGGAACAGACAGGGATGATGACAGTGGGACAGAGTGAGACTATAGTGAAAGACTAGAAGAAGTGGAAGATATCAAAAGGCTAGAAAAAGGAGAAGATAATGAAAGACCAGAAGAAATAGAAGGCATAAGAGGGATTAGACCAGATGGAGAGGAAGACAACAATGGTATAGAGCTAGAGGTAGACATAGTACAAAAAGGAAAGGAAGTTTCATTAAATTGGACATCTCTAGAGATATAGATACAGCTACTAGGAGAAAGGAATTTATAGCCATGATGACACATACTATAGCCTAAGAAGGTGAAAAGAAAACTTATGAGAGTTATAAGGACGAAGAAGAGGGAAGCAAGCACAACCAAACACATGAAGAAAGGAAAAATCAGGAGACTGCTTAACAAGTTTGGTATAGGGAATTGAATTAGCAATGGCAAAAGAGGGGAGCAAATTGGTAACATAGGTGGCAGTGAGGAAAGCATCTTCCCAGTATTTAAGAGGTAAATTTGCTTGAGATAATAAAGCTAAACTAGTATCTACTAGATAACGGTGTCGTCTTTCAACAATACCCTTCTAATAATGTGTATAGGGATAAGAATATCGATGTACAATACCATGCTGAGCAAGGAAATAATCCAAACATCTGAATTCACCACCACTATCAGTTTGCAATGCTTTTATTTTAGTATTTAATTGATTTTCAACCATTGCTTTAAAGGTTAAAAAGGCAGAAAATGTATCTAACTTGCGTTTAAGAGGATATAGTCAACAATAGCAAGAAAAATGATCAACAAAGGCAAGGTAATATGTTGAACCATGAATTGAGGGACAAGGAGCAGGTCCCTAAAGGTCAGCAAAAACAAGCTCTAAGGGTGAAGTAGAAATACAATCTGATGGTAGTGAAATCAATTTATGAGACTTTCCTATACAATAAGCAGAACAAAAACTAGTTGGCATCTTATTGAAAATATTATTAGCAAATACAAGTTTATGATCTTTTAAAAGTTTAGGAATCAAAGTACTAGGAAAATACATAAGATGTTGATGCCATAAATCTAACAAAAGTGAAGGTGAAAGTGTTACAGTAAGTTTAGTACTGTGAGTTGAATTTGATGATGGATGAATGAGCTTTACAGAATAAGTAGAGGAGGACTGAATTTGAGATGAAGATGGTGGAGTGAACACATATAGGCCATCTAGTCTATGGCTGCCCGTGAGAAGAACTTGATAAGTGTTCTGTGATTTAATACAATAAGAACCAGGGCCAAATTCAACATTAACATTGTTATCAGAAGTGAGACGAGGAATACTAAGTAAATTATTAGTAACATGAGGAACATGTAAGACATCATGAAGATGTAAAGGAGAGGAAGGATTGGAAGTAGATAATTAAGAACGACCTAAATGATGAATAGACAAACCTGTCCCATTGCCAACATAGACCTGACTAGAACTACCATAAGGTGTAGCCTGCATAATGTTAGAAAAATATGGAGTAGTATGGTGTGTAGCACCAGAATCAGCAATCCAAGTATTAGTAAGAAATTCATGAATAGGTAAGGGAAAAGTAGGCGAGTATGGATCGTAAAAGGTAGAATAAATAGATGGGGAAGGTGTGTAGGCATAGTTGAGTTGAAGAGATGGATGAGATGGAGAAGGATATGAATAATTCTAATCAAACTTGTGATAGCAAAAGAAGCTAGAGTGCCCAGGCTTAGTACAAACTTGACAAACCATATTAGAATGAGGTGTAAAAAAGCCACAACGACCTCTACTTCCTCGACCACCACGACCACGGCGACCACTATCACCACCTTGATGTTGAAATTGCTGATGAATAGGAGCCAACAATACTGTCGATTGCAATTACGATAAACTAGCACCAGAAGAAGTAGGTGATAAAGAGGTGTGAGCAACATTAACCTTCAGATGTGAGAGACCTCAATAGATAATTTGAGTGATTTAGCAAGCTTTAATTCATGACCAACCAGAAGTGATTCCACTTTACTAAAGAGAATGGATCACGCTGAGTATTAATGGAAGAGATGATTGACTCATAATTATCAGGCAGTCTGTCAAGAATGACCTCAATTTGATCTTGCTTGGAGACAAAGTGACTGACAGCAATAAGTACATCAGCTAGGGATTTTATAAGAAGAATGTATTCAGAAATGGAGCGATCCTCTTTCTTTGTGTTATGAAGCTCTTTCTTGAATTGATGAATGTTTTCTCGGTGATGAGCAGAGAAGAAACCTTTGATACGCTTCCAAGCCTCAAAAGATGTGGTACAACTAACTAATCGAGCCATCATGCCGTCGGAGACAATGGATTGAAGCCATGAGAATAAGAGCTGATCCTGGTGATACCACTGCAGATAAGCCAATGAAATAACTCCGACTAGAAGATTGGCATCAAATGAAAATTATTGAGGAGAACGGGATGACTCAATATAAGTCTAAAGGTTATGGCCATAAATTGCAAATTCGACTTGTTATTTCCAAACAAGATAATTCTTCTCATCGAGTTTCACTGTGAGGTAGTGTGCAAAGGAAATAGTGTCACCATTCTTAGATGCATCAATTATGGCAAGTTTGCCATTGGAGGAGTTGGAGGATTCAGACACCATTGATAGTACATAAGCTCCAATACCATATTAAGGTGCAGAGAAAAGAGAGAAAAGGATGAAAAAGAATTTTAATCTCTTGTATTGTATGATAAGAAGTGATACAGAGTTCTTATATACAAAAGGTAAACAGAAGATAAAATATATACACATGTCTAGCTAATAACCGTATAACCACTTATAATGACAGCACACATGACACTAATCAGATGACATAATTATATTCTCTACAGTCCTCGCTAAAGATTCCTTGTAGAAAACTAAGAAATTAAACAAATTTTGAAATGTCTCGTGATAGGCAAAAATAATGGTCAGTACTGATGCATATGATAAATGACACGAGGAACTAACAACCATTCAACACACACACAATTAACTTGTTTATTTGTAGTCCTTTATTTCATTAACTTATTAGGGTAGTCAATTCTGTGCCTGTGCAAATATAACGAAGATCGATATTGATGACTTACACTTGTGTAGGATATAAAATCTGAGCTTACATATATGGAGACATTAACGGGTTGATTGACAACGTGATAAAAGAGAGAATCTTCTGATATAGGTGTCTCCCACCAATAACTATAGTCATCAATAGTAGCAAATGTCATTTGTTCTTGAATCATATGATAAAAGAAAGAGGATATTAAACCAAAATTAGACAGTACAAAACTTTAACTACCCAATCGACACAAGATAACAATTCAAGGGAAAGAATATTAAACACTAGCCTTAGTGGAATTGCATGGACTATTGTCTTTCGTGTATGGGTAATCACTTTCAGTGGCAATACCATTTCTCTTGACATAATCCAATGCCCTATAGATCCTAATTATAGAGGAGGTTTTACCAAAATTTCTACAAAAATGTTGACACTTTCTTATGACAATTAGCTTAAATATATATATATATATATATAATTTTAATTCTCATCTGATTCGATTAATTTTCTTTCTTTTCTTTGTAAAAATGGAATAAATTTTCATTCCGTGGCTTACGGGGATGTGTGAGTGGTTCACACTCATGCCGGTCACCCTCTATTTTTGGGGCGTGACAGGAAGTTTCAAGCTCCATTTTTTAGTTCCTTCATTTTTTCTCCATTTTTCTTCTTGTAGTTTCATATTGCTGAGAATATTTTGTGTATTTATAGCTTTTGGATGATTATGAGTAGATAAACTCTTTACTCTAGGATTATTTTTGAACCCTTATATGGATTAACATTAATTTTCTTCTCTCTCCTTTTGTGATTAATGATATATAAGTGTGTAGTTTACTATTCTTTTAATTCTTTTAACTGATTGGCTACCATTTAGATATTGTGTTCATTTGAGATACATTTAGGTTTAACTTGAGTGTAATTGGAATTTAAACTTAGGATTTACTAATTGTAACAAGAGATTGAGAAATTAATTAAATTAAACACTTGTTCAAAACTTAATGGAGCATGTTCAAGTATTTTTAGAATCTTAGGTTGGCACTTATATTTTGGTTTAAAACATTCATGAGAGAATTTAATTTTAATATAATGAAATATAAGGGGGATAAATAATCCTAGGTCTCAATTTATGCCTCAAGTCTAAGAATAAATTTCTTTTCTTTATTTTATAGTTTTGATATAATTTTCAAACTCACTTTGTCCACTAATTGTGTTTTTCTCAACTTAATTGAATTTAGATAATCTTTTGCTTGGTCCTACTTTTCATTCAAATCTCTGAGGGAATGATGCTCTTCTCATATTATATTACTTGTCATGATGGGTACACTTGAGGAATCCAATAGAGAACAATAGGCTACCAATAAGAGCATGATGAAGATCATAATCTTCAACCTTTTGATTTCTATTAGAATTCAAAATGGTGTGTCCTTAATTTAGTTTGTCTTTTTTATTTATTTGACTTCTTTTTTATTTCCAGCTCACTTTGGTGTTAGTTGGCTTGATTGAGATTAATTACAGACACAATTTTAATATTTAGAAACAATTATTTCAGTGGTAACTTTCATCAGAACGATACACTATCTGTTTCATTCTGAAGATCAAAAGTTGAACACATATAGAAACCTTCATAGTTTCATTCATAAATAGGGCTTACATAAGCTTCATTTAAAGGCAAATCATTTGCCATTTATTCATGCCTAATACACATATATAGTGTGCAAAGGCTCAAGATGTCCAGCACATGACTATATATTGCATGGCTTTATTTACTACTACTGGTCTTCATATGGAGGCAGCAAGCTTGAAATCTGGTGTGTCTTTAATTGGGAAAGAACCAGAGCAATTTATGTTACACACTCCATGAGTAGTACCAGTGTTCCTCTTGACCAAGATGTAACCAGACTGTCCCCAAGTGGATCCCCATGAGTTTTTCACAATCCAGTAATCTTGACCCGTACTTGACGAACCATATCCGACGATTAACACAGCATGATTATGAGAACATGATGAAAAAATGCTTGTGCAATCGTCCCCGCTAAAGATTCCCTGCAGAAAATTAAGAAATTAAACAACTTTTGAAATGTCTCATGATAGGCAAATATAATGGGCAGTACTGAGGCATATGATAAATGACACGAGGAACTAAGAACCATTCAACACAAACACAATTAACTTGTTTATTTGCAGTCCTTTATTTCATTAACTTATGAGGGTAGTCAATTCTGTGCCTGTGCAAATATAACAAAGATCGATATTGATGACTTACACTTGTGTAGGACATAAAATCTGAGCTTGCATATATGGAAACACTAACGGGTTGATTGACAACGTGACAAAAGAGAGAATCTTCTGATATAGGTGTCCCCCACCAATAACTATAGTCATCAATAGTAGCAAATGTCATTTGTTCCTGAATCATGATAAAAGAGAGGATATTAAACCAGAATTAGACAGTACAAAACTCTAACTACCCAATCGACACAAGATAACAATTCAAGGGAATGAATATTAAACACTAGCCTTAGTGGAATTGCATGGACTATCGTCTTCCGTGTATGGGTAATCACTTTCAGTGGCAATACCATTTCTCTTGACATAATCCAATGCCCTATAGTGCCACCCTCCTGATCGGCAACCACCATTAGTCTCATCACAAGACATGAGTTGTTGTTCAGAAAGTGATGTAAGATTTTGTGTGACTATTTGAGTTATTCCTTCTATGGCTCCAGCTGCAGAGAATGCCCAACAGCTACCTGTAGAGACGAATTTGAGTTATTATTATGCTTCTGTCATATATACTTCATTTAGGTTGTATAAATTAACGCAGTTAATTTAAACTTACCACATGAGCCTTGGTCCTTAACATAAGTTACAGCTCCTTTCAACCTCCAATCCAAGGAAGAAGGTGCGTTGGGACACGATTCTTCATTCGACGCCATTCTTCCCTTGTTGCTTTCAGTTATGGGCTCCTCTGTCTCATGTAAGTAGATTCTGCTGAACTCTTCATAACTCATATCTGAGAACTGGTTCAAACCTAAACTATAGTCATCGGATGACTTTCTTTTTGCATTTTTCTCTTTGATATGCTTCAAATTGTTTTTGAAAATCTGAAATCTCATTTTCTCCTCTTCTAGGGTTTGGTATTCTCGTCCAGTCTCCTTCTTCCACTCTTGGAATAGACGGAAGACTTGTCTCTTAGAATTGTACTTGTCAAGATCTTGGTTCAAAATGGAATACCCATTAGGAACACTAGAAGAGAGACAAGTGAGAGAATACCAGAGAAAGAGAAGGAGGAGCAACTTAGTGAAAAGGGAAGCCATGTTCACTTAAAAGTGATATAACAATTGATTGGATTGCTCTTTTTCTATAACATTGTCCCGTATATATAGGGCCACAATCCCTTCATCGCTGGTAGGTGAGATTTGACAAGTATGTAAAATAAATAAATAAAAACACGCACGCACGCAAGCTCGCACAAAACTTACGTCTGGCACAAACAGGAAAAAATCTATAACAGCCTTGTTTTAATTAAAATATACACAATACCAATGGTTAAAAAACTAAGTCACAATTAAGAACATGTGCGCAGAGAAACTAAACTCATTGTTTGATTTATGAGAGATTAAATGACATTCAAAGAATCAGCACAAGAGCAAATTGATCTTTTCATTTTCAGAGAAGAAGTGTTGCGGTTAAGGGTTGATATATATGTGTTTTGTCAAGCTTGGTGGAGGTCTGGTTTCATGGAAATCAAAGAAGCAAAACCTTTTCTCCAGATCATCTGCAAAAGCATAGAGATTGATTGCAATTTTGGAACAAAATTATTACATGGATTGACTGATTTAAATCATGTTTAATTTATTCAAATAATGAGCAACCTGATATTTTAACCAAAGCCTTGGGAAGAAAGGATCATGTGAAAGATCACTAAGCAGGTTGGGAACTTCAGATTTGTTTTAGTTCCAATAAACTTGAGGGGGAGTGTTGAGGCTAATATGAATTGAAATCATGTTTGGTATGTAAAACTTGATATTAGTCTAAGTACGATGTAGTTCAGTTTTATTCAGCCAAGAAGATTTCCCCCATGAGAAGCAGAAGAGAGGGAATAAAACAAATCAAAGCAAAGCACGTCAGATATAAGTTGGTAGCTAGAAGTTAAAAAGTAAACCAACAAATCAAAGGAAAGCACGTCAGATACAAGTTGTTATATATCCCCGGGAACCAATAAATAAAGCCAAATGCTGGAGAAAAACGTGCTTAATGCTTGATATTCTTTCAAAAACACAATATAGGGTATTGATAACTAATTTATGGTTCTAAAAAAATAGTAGATGAAATCTTAATCTCTTAAAAAATTTACATCTATCCAATTATACTCATTAAATTTACATCTCTTCTGCCATTTTTTTCATAAGTGAAATGCAATATATATATATATATATGGAAGACAACAACCACTTAAGAATTGGAGAATGACAACTTTTTTTAAGCAAATAACCAAAACCTAAATCTTCATATGTTTCATTTCAAATTCTAAATTGAGGGCAAATTTGTCATTTTGTAGAAATTCAATATGTAACACGAGTCTCTAGAGACTACAAAATAACCATCACGTTTAACAACACTTTATTTTTTTTATTTGCAAATCTCTGGTTATTAATTTTTTTTTGTCATTACCGCCAATATAAACTTTGGGGTCATTTATCGAAATGCAATAATAATAATTATGTTTGCACTAAAAATGTAATTTTTACGGCCCAAAAACCAACTGAAGTTTGGGGGCCTTACAATCATGATAATTAAGAATATTTTGGAAGCTTCGGCCACTAAGTCGAAGACCATCTAAACCTCTGTACTGCATTCATGATGCTCAAGCTATGATTTAATTTTATCAGATGATAATTTACAAGCACTACAACATGAATTAGCTAGGAGGATTGCGTCCATTTGTTTTAACTTATTTCATGAAAAAATTACTTATTTCTTAAAAAAATATTTTGTGAGCTTTTATGATTTTTTAAATTTTTTTAAAAATAATCAAAATAAAAAATAATTTTATGATTATTTTAATAAGCTACTTTGGGTAGCGTCTTAAAATAATCTAATACAGTAAATGAGAGATAGTGTTTTAAAGAGGTGGAATATATGGAGATATCATAAAATTTTAAAATAATATAATAATAAATTATTTTTATAAAACAAAAATTGAGGAAGGTATCACAAAATTTAAAAATAACTAACTAATAATAAACTAAACATAAAATAATATCTGTTTTTATAAAATATCTTCCTATAAAATCTCTAAATTACCTAAAAATAACATTTTTTTCTAATCTTAACAAAACGGGCTCTAAGATATGTAGTTTAAATCCATACAATTGCATCCGTAATTTGTTAATTAATTATTTCTTTTCATTATCGATGGACTTTTTAAGAGAAAATAGCAATGAAGGACCACTAAAAAAAATTTATATTAATCAAGAATTAGTTGTTATTAAAATTCAAATAGAGAAAAAATCCCAAATAGATTGTCGTTAATTTAGACTGAATTATTGTTAAAACTCAAATAAATACTTATTGATAAATGACTAATTTAAACTAGCAAGTATCCATTTTGGCTTTGATAACAGGTGATTCTTGTCCAATATAAATTTTCTCTAACAGTCTTTGATTGATATTTTCCCACTTTTTAATGTCATTTATTTTACTATGCATGTTACTTTATTCTACCATTACAGCTTGAACAGAAGTAAAACTAGGATTTACTTACGAGGGTGGCTAAGATTCGATCTCATGAATTTATAATTATGAACCAAATTTTTAAAAACTGAACCAATCTCATTTAATTTATTGGTATGCGACAACAACTTTTAAGTAAATAATGTTTGTAACCTAGTGCTTGGCCCGTTCTAGAAGACGGACCTCATGAGACTCGTTGAAGTTGGCTCATCCAGAAATTTAATTGATTCAATACACCACGTTAAAAATTTAAAAAATGCAACAATAGTGCAAATTAAATGTGAAACTCATACTCGTTCTGAAGCTATCCTTACTTTTCGTTGTCCTTTTCGACGACATATAATAAACTTTTCAAACTTTTTACAAGATATTATTTTAAAATATGCTTAATTTTTTTTACTGCAAAATACTTGTATTATTATAAATGAGTTTTATCATTAAAAATTGAATGATAATTATTACAATATGTGCGTATATAAATTAAAATTATTCTTTTCAGAGTTTAAATGTCCCTCAAGTGAGTACCATAAGAACAAATAAGTTTTTCCTTAAAATTAAAAAGAAAAAGGTCACAGAATTAAAATATTGTGAAATTTTTTCATTGAGATTTATTTGATTGAAATTTTTATATATTATTATGATATATTCACAATTAAGATTTATTCTGTTAAGATTTTTGAAAAATTTTGTATTCATTAGTAATTATTAGAATATTTATTATTTATTATTAGAACTGTCTATATTTTGTAAGCTTTGTACATCAACAGTGAATGACATTTTTTCAAGTCTCATTTCTTTCTCTCATGACTTCTTTCATGATATCAGAACTAAGTTAATCATGTTTTTATACGTTGTCTGGGCTAAACAAATTTATAACTTATATTTTTATCCAGTAAAATATTAATAATTTGTCAATATTAAAGGACCAAATTGTTAAAAAAATTGAGTACTCCCTCTGTTAAAAAATATTAGGCATTTTTAACCGAATCCCACCCCCTAATAAAGTAGTTACTTACTTTTTAACTAACCCTATCTTTTCATATTTATTCCTATTAAACACCCTATAATAAATGTAAAGTCATTATCAATAGGGGTACTTTTAAAAAAAAGGCAATGATTATACCTTGAAAGACTAAAAATGCCTTACATTTTTTGAACATTCAACTCCTCAAAAAATGCCTTACATTTTTTAACGGAGAGAGCAAGTTGAATTTTGAAAATTGATAACTTTTTTTATATATGAACAAGTCATGTTCGAATATTTACAAGTAATTATTCGGATATGAACAAAAATATGCCTATGATTAATAACCAAAGTCCATGAAAATGTTTGAAAATTAAATTTACAACTTATATATTTTTTTAGTTATCATAATATTGATAACTTGTCATTATTGAAGGAAGCAAGTTGTTGAAAAATGTGAACAAATTGGAGTTTAGAATTTGACAACTTTTTTTTTTTTATATGAACAAGTCATGTTTAAATATTTATAAGTGATTGTTCAGATATTAACATTAATGTGACCATAAATAACAGCAATTTACATGAATACTTGAAAACAATAACTAATATATATTGCAACATGGAATTGTAATGTTTTAGTGATTCACTAGCGGTAGTCTTTTTGAACTACCATGGGGTTAAGGATTCGAGTCCCTCATGCCACATTATTTGACAAAGTTTGACCGACTGCACTAAAGCTGGCCGCCTCCCTGCAGGCGCCAGGTGGTGGTGACGTTTTTCTTTAAGAAAAAAAGATTCAAGGCACTATAAACCCATGGATTATTTATTAATAAAACGCCATAATCCTTGCTTCTTGGCTTTTCTGCTTTTAATTTTTTTAAAACTTTGATGAGATATTATTTTGAAATATCCTTCTCAGTTTCATTACCGCAAAAGACTTGAATTTTTATTGGTGAATTTTATTTAAAATAATCAAATGACAATTGTTATTAACAATATGTGCGCATATCAATGAACTTATTCTTCAAGAGTTTAATTATGCCATTCAAATAAGCACCAAAATAGAAAATTAGTCTTCTCGCTACAATTATTTAAAAAAGTCATATAGAATAAAAACAGTAGGTACTCCCAATACTTATTACAAGACACTTTTAACTATTTCACACATCGTAAAGAAATTACCTTTTTTATATCATAAAAAAATGAGATGTATATCTTTCTTTCTTTTTTTTACTCTTGATCTTTAATAATGATATAATTATATTAAATACCTTCATGTTAATTAGGATAAAATCACATAGATTCTTGTGCATACAACTCGATCAAATTTTTTTAATAGATACATTTTCCATATAATACATGATATTAAAAAACAATGGGTTGTCAATTTGAACTTCCTCATCTCTAAGTCATCTATAAAATAATTTTACAATTCTTTTTTAGAGTGATTTTAAAAAAATTGATTATTAATTACTTTCTTCTAATTTTACTTTTCACAATTTTTATTAGTGAACACAAAAAATTATAGCGATGGATGCTTGATTCAATTAGTTGAGGGAGTTGTATCAACTTAACATAAACTCTTGAGTTTGAGTCATAGGATATATGCACTTATGT